ATGGGATTCAATCCCTCAGATCCCGGGAGAAAATAAACTATAAAATGAGGAAATTTAAAAGAAAAACAACCGTTCGAACCAGAGCAAGGGAACGTGAATGTAGGCAATGAACTCGGAAGCTGAGGATAGTCAAAATGCAATGCAACAGTGTGATAGGAATGACGATAGCATCCTCACCGTAGGGATAAGATCACATACTCGAACGACCAGAGGACGGTCTTCGGGCCGACCTGGTCGGGGGGCCTGGAGGTGGTCGGCGAGACCACAGGTACAGTGGATAAGCCGTAAAAAAAAATAATGTCGAAAGACAGCGAGCGCGGCAGATTGACGACAGCATGTACGCTAAAAACGCCTGGAAGCAGAGCGAGGGCGTCACCTATGTCAATGGGCGGACCGTAGCAGAGTGCGACGGAGCCCGCAACAGACTCTCGAATTTCGACAACAATGAGTAGAACTGTGTCGACGGTGACGGTCGTGAGGGGCGCTGTTGGCGAGGAGTGTTTCCCGAGACAGGAGGAGGTAACACAGTATACCGAGAGCGCTACAGGGAGCCCTGGAGCACGACGGTGAGCTCGATGAGCGCTCCGCAGACATCGGTCGCGGCGTCGCCTGTAGCAAGCGCGTTGACCTCGAGAGCTGCCACCGGCGACAAGATGGCGACGGTGAAAGAACTGAGCGCGAGCGCGACAAATGTGGTAGTCCCCTTCAAAAAGAGGATGACAAGTAACGGGACGCAGCGGTAAAGCTCGGAATGCGACTACTGTAAATGTGAATGAAATCACTGAATATTAGGAGATGCATCAGTTCGCCTTGCTATATAACCATGCAAATGGGCATGACTCTCAAAAGATCGCAAAGAGATGGACCGGGCAGGCGGTAAGTCCCATTGGCGGCGAAGAATACCTAGTGGCATCAAATCGAGAGTCGCCTACAGACGTATTCGGTGAATTGAGTGGTAGACAGCGTATCGAAGAGGAAACGAGCAGACCCTTAAGGCTGAGGCACGATAGGTGTATAAATACCCTCTCTTCCTTCGACCTGAGTGCGGAGAAAGGGCCACATTTCACCAAGGCGTCGGTACCGAAGCTGACAGTATAGAGGATTGCCACGCTTGCGACCCCGTGACCTCGTGAATCCCAAGCTCAGAGGAAAGCGGGAGTGCTGGACTTAGAATGGCGAGCGGAGTCGATGGAAACGATTCCAAATTATAGATGTGACATTCACCTAAAGAAGCGAGAAGTTTAAGGGAAATGGCAGGATAATATCGTGTGTCTGAGACTTACGAAATAAGTCTAGGGTCTTCATCGCTTGCTCAGGAACACAAGAAATGCGCTGGTAAACTGAACGCCGACAGCGGCTGGCGCCGCCTGCTCATTCTTTTGTTGCGGCGTCGGAAAAATCACATAATGACAGAGGGTGAACTACGACTCATGGTTGAGGCGAGCGTGCCGTCGCCGAACATTCTACATTGGCAGTTCCAGCGGAGTGCAAGCATGAGCGTGAGCCACGAGTCAGGTACAAAAAACGCTCTGGGACCGACGCAGACTCCACTTGGATCGTCTGAGTTTAAACAGAAGGCAAGCACGATCAGAACCTTGTGAGGTAGACAGTAGGCGCGTACATAGTCGAAGAGATGATTGAGCGATGCCAAAGGCTCGGAAGAGCCGCGACCAGTTAGTCGGAGTCCCCGCCACCTTCATGATACCGTATATTGATCCAAGAACGTAAGTCTCCTCGAACACATGAGAAACAAGAGAGTCGGTCGAGTCGGTAAGATCAGTCGCGTGCGAACAACCTTCAACGAAACGAAGCGCTTCTTGCGTGACAACAACGGCATCTTCCAGACGCTCTCAGAACCTAGACCGCTGCTGAGAGGCTATGCGCCTCTGAAGCGGAAGAAAAGCCGAGTCCAGGCTAGGCGAGTGGAAAACAAGAGCCATCTCAGCGGTTCGCAAGCTCAGTCTTGTGTGTAGTGAACTATACTGCTGAGCATGCGGCGCATGCTGAAGCGTCTTTATGGCGGGGATTGCGGTCCAGAAGTACCCCCGGAAGAGCGCTCCGAGGACTCGAAGTCCATTATGCGGACACAGTTCGGCTTTGTCGGATGGCTGCACGCAGCAGAGCAGAGAGAGAGCCCGCCGTCTCGCTGCAAGTACGCGCAAGCTCTCAGAGTGTCATCGCGAGCAATGGAGCCAATACCTCGTCAGGCATCTCGCAACACGATTTCGATCACGTCGAAATCAAGGTGTGGAAGCCATCAGGGTGCGGTGCAGCGTCTTGCATACCATCTTGACAGCGGATCGCTTGTGCTGAACGGTCCTGAGCGCACTCTCTGCAGTCGTCGGGAAGGTAGAGCTTGGACCGGTTCTCGGGAATAGCTGATCATGATGCTGTCGAGGCCGTCGTATACGGTCGCCGGATTGTGCCGGCTTGTCACTGCATGGACAGAGGTAATTTGACAATCGTAGGAGCCTCTCGGCCATCGAAAGGCGCAAGCACAGATGTAGGGCAAAAGTCTCCGAGGGAAGAAATACTGAAAAGATAGTGTCTGTCGGGGACGTACCAACTGGCGGCGTCTGAGTCCACGCCGCAAGTTGGAATAGGACTGAACGTCCAGAGGCAACACCCGGGCCAGCGCTTTGGGACAAACAGAAGCTACGCCGAGAAGTCCGCTAGTCAATAGGTCAGTATGTACGGCGTAAGTGAAACAGGAACGCGCTCATGAAGCCATAGGCGCAAAGAGGAGCAAACGTGCTTTCTTCCTGGGGAAGGCGTTGCGAAGGCGGGGAGGTGTCGACATCGGGGCCGCCGTCATCAAGCTGAATGTGGGAGTCGGGGATTCTGCGGCGCGGACTTTGCCAACCGCTGTTGGCTTGCGCGGCTGCTGACGCGTTGACGAGTTGCCACCGTCCTTCATGATGGCCGCTCGGCCGCCGTTCACCAGTTCTTTGTCCTTGGACATCACGCTCGTCCTTCTATCTTCGTGGTCTCCAGTATTACCGAGGCAAATCCTCCGCGTATTTTGAATGCTTTAACGGTAGGCTTCCATGAAGAGGGTCGCCTATGCCTTCAATAATCAATGGACGCCGCGGGCACACGCGTCGGCGGCATGCTGTGTCCAGTAGACCAACAGGGTCGCTCCGGCGCCTATTTCATCCTACGCATAAGCGACGCGAGGTGTGCAACGAGGATGTCCATCCAACGTCGGGCGATGTCACGGCTTCGACGGTGATTGAGTCTTGGGGTGGGCCGCGCTGGCCCCGTCCCTCGGTCGAGGTTCGACTTTGGCTGTACATCCGTGTTCTCCGTGGCTGCAGCTCGGCCCAAACGGTCTCTTCTAGCCGTCACGTATCCGATCGGTCGACGAGCGCGCGCCCGACGGCACAACAGCGCGTTTATCGCCGGGCGCATCGACCAACGGTCATCTGTCCATCTACTACTGTGCGCGATCCGACTGCATTCTCAGGTATTCGACTCGTACCAGTTACATCCGGTTGTTTCCCTCGCTGTCAGCTCGGCATGGTCAAAGAGGCTGAATTAGAGTCGTCCCTTCCCCGGCTGTACCCACCTTGGCAAACCTAATGCTCGCCCGAGTCCTTACCAAAGTACCGGTCGAAGTCTCAACTGGACGTGTAGCGGACTTCCTTTAATTTCAAATTTATCTTTCATGGAACCCGTATGACGCGGCAACAGCATCTCGTCTCGATTTCTCGGCTCAGCGCACTGAAAGGACGGCTTCTAGCGTCAATCCTCCTCTACTTCGACGCGTATAAAAGGCTGGTCGATGTGAGCCCATTCCCCTCACCCTCAGGGCCTCAGCACTCGGGTACTTCTTCTTTCGACCTTGTCGGCCTTCCTCTTCGCTTTCTTACACCGTTCAACATGTTCTCGTTCATGAAGATCGCCACCCTCGCCACCCTCGCGTTCGGCACCCTTGCGTCCGCGCTTCCCTCTCCGGTCGCCGCTCCCGCCCCTGTCTCTGAGGGCGAGCTCGTGGCCCGCACTGACACCGTGTACTCGGTCCTTACCGGCTTGAACAGCGACCTGCAAGCTCCTGTTGCCCAGCTGAGTAAGTTTGTGTCATCCTTTGTCGTCGCCTTGATCGTTCATGACTTTCGCGACCTAGATGCGCTCTCCCCGGCCGACTGCACGCCTGACAAGGTCCAGCCCATCGTCCTTAACATCCAGGTCTTAATCTCCGTCGCGGTCGACAAGTGCAAGGGCCTGTCCGCTGGTGGCGATATTCTCCTGCAGCTCTCGATCATCCTCAACGTACGCGCATCTTCTCCTCGCGTTCAACCTGACCTCTGACCCCGCTTCCGTCCAGCTCGTCTTCGGCGCTGCCGGAAAGGTCTATGGGTACCCTGGCGTTGACAAGGCTGGCCTCCAGATTGTCTTCCAGCTCCTCGAGTATGTACAAATTCCTTTACCGCTGGTCGTATACTAACGGCCTTAATCTTCAGTGTCGTCGTTTCCAGCCTCATATCACTCGTCTTTGGCCTTGTCGGCGGTCTCCTCGGTCTCCTCGCGAAGCTCCTTGTTGGCCTCCTTACCGTCGTCCCGATCATCCTCGAGCTCGGCCTTACGAGCGTCATCCACGTCCTCGGTCTCTAAGCGGTCGCACACCGTAAATTGTCCTTTGCTTCGCCTTTCAAGAGACTGCACTGTAATGTACGACGGCGCACGAGGTAGTGGGGACTTGGTTTTCATTGGCTAAGGGATGGATTGTCTACTCTTATTGGTTCTTAGGGCGTGTGTTGATCGTGAGAAAAATGATCCAGTTATTTTTTGTGGTTTCATCACAACAATCTGTACCTCGGGAACGAGCAGCTTGACACGTCAAAGCAATGAGCTGCAACTGCAATGCGAATCAGAATATATGGTAGAGTGTTGGGCCTTTCTCGGGCATTATGGTAGTTGATTAGTAAATAAACGCGTTGGGAATAAGAGCTTTTCTTCCATGCCACAGCTAATGGTATCAGACCGTCATGGAATCATGTAGGCACATGGCGGTGTAGTTGGTCATCACGCTCGCTTGGCATGCGAGAGGTGCCCGATTCGATTCCGGATATGTCCGTCGACCACCTGATTTCGAAAGGGCATCTCTTGACTCCCAATGGTTGCTGCAATGACCGAACCTATTGATTAATAACTTTTGCGCTGCGTCTTTAGATTGCAAGCCAGATAAAAGCTTGTTTCAAACACCCGCATTAACTACCTTGCTTTGCCAGCTTGATTTATGTATATCCGCGGGCGGAAGACTTTTTGGCAGCAACAGTATCAATATACTATATACACGGAGAGCGATGATAACAACACAAGAAGAGCTTGCAGTGGAGACAACATGAACGCGTCGGTGAAATATTTCAGTCGTCGCCGATCTTAGGAGCAAGGTAGTACCGTATGTGGCCCTGGCCGAACATGTAGGACACCTGCACTTGGCATTAGATTAGACCGGGCGCGCAGAAAGAAAACATACGAGAAGGGGAACATCGTTTCGAAGCATGAGCTGTACGGTGTCCGAGAGCGAAGTGCTCTTGGAGAAGTTGACCAGGTATTTGAGCGAGAAGGTGAGTGCAACGTGTGCGGTCATCGTAATGCTGACGCCACTGACGGGGCCGTCGTCATCGTCGCTCTTCCTAGCGCGCTTCTTTGGCTTGCCGTTCTAAACAAGAACATCAAACACGAAAGCTAGCCAGTTCGAGACGTTCGCTTACCGCAGACGACGCCTTCTTGCGCTTCTTGCCCTCCGCCTCGCTCTGCTCCTCCTCGCCCTCATCATCCGACTTGGCCTTAAACTCACCGTCGTCCTCATCCATCGGCTCGTCTTCGTCATCCGCGGCTTTCTTCTTCTTTTTCGCCTTCTCATCATCTTCGTCTTCCTCGTCCTCTTCATCCGCCTCCTTCTTGATCTTACGCTTCTTCTTCTTGTTCTCGCTCTCCTCCTCATCGTCGTCCTCCTCCTTCACCGCCTCGTCCTCCGCGTTATAGTTTTCGTAGCGCTTGCGAGCCGAGTCGGTCTGCTTAAGCAAGATGGAGCCATTCGCCGACTCGCCATCAGCCGCGAAGCGTATGCCTTCCTTAGATACCTCGATGCGGACGGATTCACCGAGGTTTGACAAGTCCTTCACGATGCGCGCAAATTCGGAGGAAGCCATCGTCACGCGCGCCTCGTACTCCGTGTCCGGGATGCCAAGCGTGTCTGCATCAATATCCATGAGCTTCATGTCGTACTCCGCAATACGGTCTGCGTCTTTCGTACGCAGGAGTCAGCGCTCGACACGGCGTGAAAGGGAGGGAGACGTACTGCGCGCCTCGTATGTTAGGCTCAGGACGTCGCTGTCGTCGGTGGCCTTGAGCGTGCAAATGTCGTCGTCCTTCGCGCACTTGAGCACTTTCGTGAGCGAGTTAAGATTGACGCCAATGGGCATCGGACGATCGCAGCGGTAGCGACGGAAGCCGTCCGCGTTCAGCTTGACGGAGACGAGGGCGACATGTGAGTTATCCATGGCTTGGAGCTCCTACAAAAAGCGCCGTGCCCAGCCATGGTTAATATGCGTGACGCTAGGAGGATAGGTACGTACAATGCCGCCCTCATCGCACTTGAACTCGGCGTCCTGTACGAGTTCTTTGATCGCTGGACGAAGCTACGCGTAAGGATGGCGCAATAACGTATAGGACCCTCAAAATCACGTACAATCAAGAAGACGTTTGAGCGTCGCAGCCTCATTGAGTTTTGCTTCGAGCATGGTACGCGGAGACTGGAGGACAAGAGATGGAAGGGGAGGGAATGGTGGTGGGGGAGAGCAGGGTTTACGACGCGTCGCGTGCCCAGATCACGCGGCGCGTCTGTAACGCGTTCGTCACGTCACACCAAAGAGCTCGCCTCATCTCCGCGCCGAATGCCAAGCAACATGGACTTCGACGCGGCTTTCCAAGTCACTCATACGCCATGAAGCATTTCCAGACCATTCATCTTTCGGATCATATCGTAATCTGTGATTGTCCCGGTCTAGCCTTCCCCCAGTTCGCCACCATTAAGGCAGATCTCGACTGCGACGGTGTTCTACCAATCGTCATTGATACAAGACTATGACGAACCGAAGACACACTGCACAGTCAGAAACATGAAGGCGAGAACATCTACTGCCTCCAAGGCCCAACGACACCACGACTGATGAGCCCGTCCACGTCTGCACGCGACATCCCAAGCTCACCACAGAGCACCTCCTCGTTATGTGTTCCCAGATCTGGACCTGCCCAGCGCGTGCGTGTCTCTACGCCCTCTAGCACGGGCGCGAGCCGCGGCATCTTCACAGTCCAGCCCTCGCCGCCCGGTGTGCCGACCGGCACGTCCTCAATCGCGCCACGCGCCTGCACCTGCTCGCTCTCGACGATGTCGGCTACGTTGACGACGCGGCCCGCGGGTACGCCGATGGCCTCGAGCGCAGTGAGCGCCTCATCGATGGTCCGTGCACTCGTCCAGGCGGCAATCGCGTCTTCAATCTCCTTCACATGAGCGACGCGGTGATGGTTATGCTTGTACTGCTCCCCCGTGAGGTCCGCGCGGCCGATCATGCGCATTAGCCGCTCGTACATCGAGTCTGCGTTCGCGCCAATGACAACGTAGACGGGAGTGGAGGAGGATGCGTGAGGGCGACAGGGATAGGCGTTGGTGGGAACGATGCCGGTGATGGATGAACCGGACGGCTGTCGCACGACATCCTTGCGGTCATACTCGGGCACGATGCCTTCCATCAAGTTCAGCATACTATGTTATATGTCAGCGTACGACAACGGAAACACGAGAGAACCCACCTCTCGAGTATGCTGACATCAACTGTGGTCCCGCCGAACTCGCCCTTCGCTTCCTTTGCCTTTCGCGACAGAAGCGCTAGGACAGTACCAAAAGCGGCGTGCAGTCCGGCAACAGTATCTCCGAGAGAGATATTCGGTCGTACGGGAGGACCGGCGAGCCCACCCGTTGCGGGATCTGGAAATCCATTGATGTAACGGAAGCCAGATTCTGCCTCGCACACGGACGCGTAGCCCGGTCGCGACGACCACGGTCCCGTCTGACCGTATCCGGATACACGGGTGAAAATAAGGGAGGGATTGTACGGGTGTATTTGTGCCGGTCCGAGGCCCCACTTCTCGAGAGCTAAACAGGCGCGTGAGAGGGAGCGTCGTATCATGGCGGCAGTACACGCACTGCCGGGCTTGAAGTTCTCAATCATAACGTCAGATTTGAGCGCAAGCTGCTTAACAAGCCTAGCTTCGCTTTAGCCGAGAAAGGGAGGAAGATTTCGAGCAAATGCACTGTCTACCCTCCTCCTTGCGCATGTCAATCGTCACGCTCTTCTTGTTCCGCGCTATACTACGGAACCACGGGCTCGTGCCGTCGATGTCGAGCTCGCGCCAGAAGCGAAGAGGGTCACCGGTATTGGGTGGCTCTACTTTGATGACTTCTGCGCCGAAATTTCTACCGAAAAGTCAGCTTTTGCTGTCTCCATTATTGTGAGAAAACGTACCCCAGTAGTTGTCCGGCAAACGGCCCCGCGATAAGCTGCCCGACCTCCAAGACACGAACACCTGAAAGGGGGAGCGTGTCCGATTTCTCAGAACGTACTGTTGCTCTAGCTCAAAGTGAGCTTCTGCTAACGTAGCAAAGCACAGAGACGCACAGAGAACGGCGCGAGACGGTCGAGTGGGACTTGTGTACAGCTAATCTTGAAAGCATAGTAGCGGGATGAAGAAACTTCGCCGGCTCTATGGGATGATGTTAATGCAACGATGAGCAGCGGGTGTGAAGAACCATTCATAGCGGCTTGCTTTATAGACGGCGCCTAGCAGACTTTCGGACGAAGGGGATGCTAGTTAGAGGCTGTCGTTGACGAAGCGCCGGAAGTGCGGGGTAGTTCTTCGGCCGATTTGAGTCCGTCAAACCACGTGGCACTTCGGATCTGTCGACCGCTGGTGAACCCCTGCGTCCGGGCTGCTTCGGACCTCGCCTTCTCCCTTACCACACTGCTCTCATCGGCTGCAAGCCACCAGCAGTAGGATATTGCTATGTCTCACAGCGTGCCGGTACCTGCTTTCTCCCTGCAGGTTTGGCGACGGACTCGAGGTTAGCGGTAGCGTCAGGATGCTTGCGGTACTGTAGCCCGACAATTGCGCAGGATCAAGGGGCCTTCGAAGTCATGCGCAGGACGCCAGCGTGCAATCGAATTGCGTATACCCCATCCAACTGAAAGCACCATGACTGTCTGATATCCTACCGAATGTTGGACCAGATCTGCAGAGTGACGCGTATTTTGGTGGTCACTCACGTCGAACTTGAGATTCACGTGGGTATTTTGCGATCTCTTACTTCTGACATGCGACTTCACGAAGAAATCTGGACCCAGCGCACGCGAGCTTTTTCACCGTGCAGGCTCTCTGCGGCAGCTCGGCACAGCGCAAATGCGCAGCCCGATGACGTCCAATTCTCCGTCCCCCTGTTTTAGAGCCTTTGCCAGCTGCTCTCCTCGTCTCCAGCCCATACGGTCCGTCGATAAACAAGGCGGTCTCTTATCCTACGCCGTCTAATCCTCCCAAATTCTTCCGCTGTTTCCGCGTTCATTTGGGGGCGCTCGACGACGCTCGGGGGTTTCTGCAAGGTCGACATTTCTTCTTGCCGCGATAGCCCTAGGCTCGGTGTGCCTACCGTACCTCGCTTTTCTCGAACTTTTGGCCAGCGACATTTTGCCTTTTTAGGGCTATTAACTTCGCGTTCTTCTGCATAGAATCCATCATCATGTGGCGAGACCAGCTGCTGTCGATGTTGAACTACCCCTAGTTTATAATATTGCTTAACTTTCATTGAGATCGAGGTGCTCCCTCGGGTTCGTCCGAGCCTCTTTGATCCGAATACGCATGCTAAAACTTTTGTAGTGACGATTATGCACAAGGGGATCTACCATGGGTTATACATGCATAATAGTGCCATTCCGCACATCGCGAACGACTAACTCCCACTCTTGTCCTTCTAACTTCTTTGTCGGTTCCTCTCGAGCACTATTCGAAGTTTGCCGTTTT